CACAATTAAAGACTCAGACGCGGACGGCCAAGGCAACATCGCATTAATTTATGGGCCCAGCGATGATAACGAAAGCTGTTAATTGTAGTACGGATGTGGTCACGTAGCCACTATAGACTATAAATACTGCACACCCTGTGCATATCTCGCCCTGATCCGCGATTGGCTTCGAGGATAGTTTACGGGGAGAATCCGAAACGCTGCGTTAATAAACCCTTGTCCCAGCGATTGGACCTTCTCCCTCAGATTTGACAGTGTATTATATTCTGTACAGAAAGCAGGGGATGGTGATCAGGTTGAAGCATGCAGACAGCTGGACCAAAGCACATGTCCTGCGTCGCGAGATCCGGCCTCCGAATGAAAAACAGGCGTGGGCTACGGTGTTGTACATGCGAGCGCGTCTTTATCGGTCTGTAAAGTGATTGGCCAGTTTGGATAGCTGTGATTTGCTGAAAACCGAAACTGCCGTCGGTACGAACTAGATATGCGCAGCCTTATAAAAGGAGCCCGAATAAGACTACTGTTATCCTGTCACCTTTCTCATGAAATGTCAACCGAAATATTTGTAATATGTTCTACATTCAAGCAAACTATTTAAGTAGGGTTGCAATTGTGATTATCCGGCAGACTACTTTCAGGACAGTTTATCACGTCAGGGTGCCGGCTCGTGAACGGGCTTCTTTCTGAGCGCATTCTAACGCGCTTTCTATAAAAAGTAGCAACTTAATAAGAATACATTCTTCACATTGATCTTCAAAGTCCACATAATTGTTATACATGGAAAAGGGGTATTGAAATGATCATTCATAATGCAGCCCTTCCATGAATGTATTAATGTTGCATATGCTATGTACAACATAAGTCACCATCATACTAATAATTGATAAGAAGTATGTGACCTGTCCATCACAGTTTCTATAACAGCTTTATTTTTCCTAGGCAGAATTTAACCAGCATGTAGCTTGTAAGCCTTAAGTAAAGGGTGGTAGGTTGAAACATTATTCGATAATTTGGAACAAGTTTTGAAATAGAAATCCACTTGTTCTTCAAGTACCATGTTTAAGAAGGACGCTATTTTCCACCAAGCGAGTGTGTTGATGCATTATGTCAATTAAGCAAAGGGTGGTAGGTTGAAACATTATTCGATAATTTGGAACAAGTTTTGAAACAGAAATCTACTTGTTCTTCAAGTACCATGTTTAAGAAGGACGCTATTTTCCACCAAGCGAGTGTGTTGATGCATTATATCAATAAAGTATACTCGCGTTCATAAGGGCATTGAAAGTCAAACAGGAAATGTAGAGTACGAATAAATTAAAAGAAGATTGGTCGAACACCGAAACAGTTCGTTTATTTTTCTGTGCTTTCAAACTGATACAAGAGTTCATCTTCAGAGATAAGAGCAACCACAAAGCAGGGGGTGCAAGCCAATTAGTTATCAGTGCCGCACTTCTGTAGCTGAATGCGCAGGGCTCTGAACGCGGCGCCAAATCTATACGTCCATTACTGGAATTCTCATCCGCGGACCAAGCTTCAATCAATTCTCGGCTCGTCTTTTTTCTGGCGTGGTCAAATATCTTGACGGCTGCGAAGTTTAACGCATGGCTTGCTGCATAGGTGCGGGCAACAACTTATAATAGTTCGTAGCCTCGTCGTACCGCCAGCTTATAATCATGTAAGCGCGATCTGAGCATGCGCTCAGTTGGACCTGTGTATTTATAAGGACAGCTTCTGCATGGGATGTGATGTGATACACTACCCCACACTGCTCTTTAGGATTAACTCGGTCTTTGATTTTAATGGCCCTGTTGCGCGTGCTAACTGTTTTTACGGAGTTTGGCTGCTGTAGGCAGCCGGGAAATGTTCGCAAAAAGTCAGAAGAGACTGAGGTATCATGGGATTAGATTGTA